GCTGTACAGGACGTTTAACCATAGATAAAACTGCTCTTTTGATGAGAATACCTTGGTGACAACAATAAAAACGAAAATGCTTCACAGGACTACTTTTGACAAGGATGAAAAGGTGTTCGAATGGGTAATTTTAACTAAGTGACCACAAATTTAAGAAAGAAGTGGAGGCAAAGTGATTGCTCTCGTTGGTGATGGTAGATTTTGCTTCAGTGAATGAATGCATGAGCAAATATGGCTATATTAGCTACAATTCATTTATATTATGTTATATCTAACGGCTCATCATTTCACGCCCACGACATAACGGCTCATCGACACGCCTGTTTTGTGGTGTCGAACGGACTGAGACTAAATCCACCCACGCATATTCCACTGATCTGCACGCGACAAGACAGCACATCGTGGCCGTGGAGTAGATTGTATTATCCAAACTGGCTGCCTCTGTGTGTGCACTTTAAAACCTGGATGAGGCATTGACAGCAAAGCAAGGCTTTATGCAGTAACCACGCAGTGCACAGGGAAGTTGATTTTTCTGATAACACTACTTGTACGTCGTCAGTTACTTAGTTGCAAAATTCTGTCCTTCGCGCACGTTCCTTTGTGTTCATTTATGCCACTCCCATTTATTAATCCCACTGCACTCTTAATCTCTACCATGCGATGATTCTAGCACTCATGAACTATCTCATCAAGAGGAAATCACTTACAAGTTTCCAAAATGAAACTCGTAGGGGTCATTCTATTGTTGAGTATCACACTAGAATGAACAAGCAGTCGAGCTAAGAGGGAACACACCTTCAAACCTGTACCAGTCCACCTACGATTCTACCAGCCTCACATTCGGTGGAGCAAAACCACGGAGACATCGGGACGAAAAAAAATGACACCCTTCCATTTGCCTGGAGCGCTGTCAAGGGCGCGGAAGCAGGCCGAATGGGTTTGGTAGTCCACAGCCACATCTGGAACTTGATCACAGTAGATTATGAAATCGTTTCCGGCAATGTAACTTCGATTCGCCTCTGATGCTGCACACTGTCCGTCAGTACATTTCGATGTTTGCGGTTTGCAAGAACCTTGATAATTCCACAAAGCAGGCGATCCAAAAAAACTGGCTAGTTTATTAGATAAAATGGTGGCGCTTTCGGTATGTTACATTTATTGTCATGTTAACCATGATGACTCTTGGCGACATTCCTCTCTACCTTGTACATTAGCAAATACACGTAGCTTGGTTTTTATTGTAGTATTTAATTTGGGAAATTTGGCAGTGTAAAAAGAACATGTTCCTTTAGATCAAGTCTAGCTTTCAAACAAATTTGTAAAAGTTAGTGCCATCAGGAAATAACTCGTACAAATTCACTTGTGTGGCGGGCACAGATTCATCAGAATTACTGAGGTAACGACACGTACCACAAAGGTTTGTTCAAGTTGAAAAAGTTGAGGTTAATATATTGACGAAATCATCGTGCAGTGGTGCAATATAATTAGAGCACATTGAACAATTATAAGACCTAAAGAAATTGTGCGGTGTCCGCGATCGCAGCCAGCCCTAAATCCACATTTTCAGAAATACAACCTCGTTTTCACCAAGGAGGTCATGAGATCAAGGAAAAGTGTAATAGTACAAATTTGCTGAGGCTGGTAGGGAATATTTACCAATGCTTCAGATGGTATATCTCATAAACTAATGCTAATAACAACTTCACTTAGATGCGGCAGTTTGAAGGAAATTCCACCCTGAAACGGATGGCATGTCTTCCTCAAGAGCCGCAATTCTAATGCACCTTAAATTTGAAAAACAAAACCAACATTTCCACTCAAACGGTTCCTGTTTATAGAGGATTAAGAACACACCACCTGCAGCGGCAACAAGTCGCACGGTCTGGCTGAAGTAGATTGGCGGACGATGGATGGGTTCGTGGTTATTCGGCTTTTGGCTGTACGTATGGCACCGCAAAATACCGCTCAGGTCAATGTTAACGTCCTTGTTTACCCTCACGCTTGACAGAGGCCTGAGGACTAGTCTGATGACTGAACCCACACCGAAGTAAATGCCACCCTGCGGAAACTTTGAAAAAACAAACGTTATCATTCACTTGTTGATAAATGCTGACGACGGAATCCGCTAGCACTTTCAAACTACCGCATAGTGGTTACATACTGTCGTAATATGCAACAGTGGTACATGCTCTTAAATTTATTTGGCATTCGTGCACGTGAGCACTTTCGGTTTTTAGTGAGCTTTTTCAGACACAAGGACATTTTCGCTAAACAGACTGCAAGGCAAGCTACCTTCCAGTCTTCACAATCATCAGCTTATTGCCACTGCGCAGGGCTTTCGACAGACGACTTCACTGGCTACACCGCTACAGTGCTTGAGCAAATTTAGTCGATCCACTTCCCAAATCTCTTCTGTCATGAGACCCAACCCAAAGCTTATACCATCAACTGACCCCTCGGCGCTAGCTTGGCTCTCTCCGCCCTCGACTCTCATTTGGTCCAACTCGATTCAAAAGCGACGATGACAAGTTACTTCGCTAATATGGCAATCTAAAGCAATTTAATCAGCATCGGTTATATGCCTAGGGAAGGAAAATCCAGGTTAGTGTCTTTAAGTTTAAAGTTGACAACTATGTAAATAACTGGCTAGTTAAATCTTATTGCTTGACTCACCTCAAGCATCCTGACGCCTCTTTCGATAGACACCGGGACGAGGATCAATCCAGTATCATTCGGATCCGCTGGCACCACATTGACGGTAAAAGCACCGCCATGCAGAAGCCAAAACGAAGCCTTGTGACACTCGAGTGTTGATTGCTTTGATAAATTTGCTTGTACTACCACCGAATATTCACCTCTTTAAAGCCAAGAAAACCAGGTGATGAAATGGTAATCGAATTGATTCAACTGTTTAAAACGTTGCAGAATATGCCCTAGGAACACGAACTACTGGTACTCAGTAGCGGCAATATTATTTGACAAGAGTTACTATCATTGTGTTGGAGACAAATCAGTCGCCACACC